TTAATTATTCAATCAGGCGAAGAAAGGAGAAACAGCAAACGAATTGTGTAGCCGGTCGAACGACAACTAAAAACAAAAATTGCTTTGAATTTTCGAATTTTGCATTATTTTATTTTTCTCGCGACCAGAGAGTGAGAGTCGTAGGAGAGAAGCCGAGAGAAACATGCACTTCAACTTGGACAACAACACAACCAACAGCTCCCAATACGTTGGCCAATTGTATTTATAATTTTATTTATATATTTTGCATACATTGTTGCTGTCGCCGTTTTTGTATTTCTCTCTGATAAATTGTTAAGCGCTGTCTGGAACTGGTTGCGCGTGCCAAATAGCAAAACTAATATGAGGGAACGAGCTGGTGGAGAATTCCCCGAACGGAGCACTGAGAAAACTCCTCTCTGTGGCAATTAATCAAGTCTTGACTAAAAATAAATATTAACCAATTAAATTTATCTATTAAGATACGCACAGCAGCCGCACGAGCATTCGGGAGATACAAAGTTAAAATTGCAGACAAATTAAATGTTTGCTTAGAAGGGCCTGAGAAACAGGAGGAATTTGTGTACAAAATGTCAAAACGTGATTCTGCTCAGTATTTTTTGAAAACACGGTGTTAAAGTTTAAATGCATTAAATTTTGTTCTTGTTTACTCTTGTGAGTGCACTTTTGTTGTTCTTCTGAAATCATTATTTTTAAAAAGGGAAGAATTTTCAGAAATTATAGAACCGATTGCTACATGATTAAACAGTAATTTTCTGATGGAGAAAAATATTTAAGAATGGAAAAAAAGTTTAATAAAAAATATAAGATGAATAATTAAATTTAGTTAAATTTGATTTTCTGTTTGATATTCGTGATAGGTTTATTATTAATGGGATTATTGGCAATTTTTAAGTTTTTCGAACTTTATTTATTTTGCACATGATAATGGAACTTTTCACTACTTAGTATTAATATTTCTACTTTATTCCGGACCATTTCTGGCTCCATACGAATGTGAAATCAAATTAAACGATCCCCCACCAAGAAAACCGAATTTAAGGCAAAACTTTTGAACCACCCAAAATGTGTTCCACAATTTGTTTTTGCGTTTTTCCCTCATTTTGTTTTCGCTTGCGGTTTATTTTTAGACAAATTCGATTTAGAAAAATTGTGCGTGCGATCGCCAAGTACATAGATAGATTGGTATCTCAACTGTAAGTATATAGGGGTCAAAGCAGATCCGAAGATAAATAAGCAAAGAATTCACAATCAATCACTAGCAAGGTCAGGGTACCGAGACATCGGCATCGACATCGCCGACGAAAAAAAAAACAGCAACAATTAACGCACGTCATCGCTTGACGCGTATCCGTAAGATACAAATAGCGATGGACGGACAGAATGAGAGCTACTGCTTTAATTATAGCAAATTGTTTAAACAAATACTTTTCGGTCTTTTCTTTTTGGGATTTTCGTTTGTAACTTTTTGTTGGTACAGCTTCGCGTTTGGCGTCTCACGCCGGCGACAAGTTTTTGTTTACTGAATTCGAACCAAAAACTGTATTTTACACAAAATCCAAAAACGACTATCGGAACACAAAAAGCAAAGGCAGCGACGTCGACAGTGGTGGCTGCGCTCGGAGGCAGCAATAAAATTATTTTCAAAAATACATTTTTTCTACGCTTCTCCTCTCTTTAGTTTGTGAAGACGACGGCGACGACATAGACGAAAAATAGGCGAGAAACAAAATTTACACACACGACCGGTGCCGAAGCTATTTTTTATTTTATTGTATTTTTTTGTGGAGCAAAGCACCGACGCCGATGAACGATAACAAGAAAAGAAGTCAAGAAAAAACGAAACTCGAGAGGCGAAAAAACTGAGTAGATTACATCAAAAAACCGTCGTGTGTCCCTTATCATAAGAAGTATATCTAATCGCAGTCTGATAATTAGCATTGAGTGATAGGTGGAGTGGGGAAAAATGGAGAACGAAAAAAAAGGTAAACAGATAGGGGCAGAAGCACAGCTTTTTTAAGGGGACTGGGCATAAATAAGCCCATGGAAGCTGATTGAATGGCAATCATCATCAATTATACAATTGTTTTGTAAAGTATTCGCTTGCGAAAAAGATCTACAGCTTAACTTAGTTATCCAGAGTTTAAGAAGGTATCCATTAGAAATGTTATGATTTTTACGGCCTTTTCAACAGTTAAATTAAATTAATCTTACTACAAAACAATGGATACTTTTTATTATTATTATTTTATTATTATATATTATTATTATTTTATTATTATATATTATATTATTTTTATGGGAATATAAACTAAGCTAGTTTCCAAAGCTACCGTTTATATAGATATTATTATTTATAGTATACAATTTTTTTTCTGCAAAAATGGTTTTATATTGCTTAGAACATCCGTTGCCCTTGAAAACCCTTTATCTTGATGGAGTCTTTATCCTCCAGTCAATAAATGGGTCTTAACAGGAATTAATAACTTATTGTTTGGGTTGGTCTTAGGAAAAAGCCAATATGTAAATGAGACTGATAAGAAAGAAAACCACAAAATCAATAAGTCACAAGCTTAGTAAAAGGAAAGCTGATAGCAGTCTGCATTGAAGTAACCGCTACTATACATGATTCTCGAATTTTAATATTGCTGCTACATTTTCGTTTAAGATACCATGACTATACTAAATTTGTTCACTCCAATTATACTACCTCAACAAAACCAATAACAACTATTAGCTGACGTCAAATAAAGCAAATAACAGATATCAAATGACAGGGAAAGCATATGCACTTTATTTTAAAGCCACTCGGCTAACAAACTAAAGCAAAATAATTATGAAAATCAAAAAATTAAAGCAAGACGAAACGTTTGGGCACATGTTCCTTATCAAATGTTCTATATGATCATCTGACTGGAAACAGATTTAATGGCTAATTTTCAGTACAGATGGAAATAAGATTTCTTGAGACATGGGGTAAATTGCAGGGAAAAACAAGAAAATTAGAGGAAAGAGATTGCGACAAGTGTCGAGTTAGCGTGAAATTTATAGCCAACAACAGGCCGCGCCTGAGTGAAAGAAAAGCCAGGGAAAAACGAAGCGAAGGAAAATGCAAACGATTCAGTTTTGCTTTCTGATTTAAGCAAATTACAGCAGCTGGCCACCTGCGCGTATACGTAATGTGAATTTATTGGCTCATTAGAGTTGAGCAAATGTTAAAGCGGCAAAAATAGTTTGTAGCTAAAGCGAATTTATGCTTGGTATATTTTTGCGCTGCTTTCCTCCACCACCTATATCTATATCTGTCTATATGCATCTATATATATATATATATATATATATATATATATAGTGTAAACAGTCGTACACATGTCTAATTGGCGTTTAATTGCAATTGGTTGGTTGAAAGTCATTGGGACGACTGGACAGCTGTCAGTTGAACGTTCTCATCAAGGAACTCGCGTCTTATCTCCATGCTGCTAATCTATATGGTGGAGCGATAAGCCAGGTATGTTTGGTATTGTTTAGTCATTTGCTATATTTAGACCATTAGTCAGTGTGAGGTGATATGACATGGTTTCGGATACAGGAAATCCTTCCGAATGTTTTTCGCAATAATTTATTGTCAAGATTTTGAAAGAAAGATTACTTTTTAATCAAAGAAACATATTGATGGGTAACTATAAAAATACGCTTCCGTAAATATAATATAATCTATATCATAATTTTACCTATTCATTTTTGCATTTATGAATAATTATTGTTTTTTTTCTTTAATAATTTAAAATAATCTTTTCAAAAAATTCTGATTTGATTTTACTTATTTACTTGGGGTTTTTGGTTTTTTACTGCACATACATTTTCATTTGGTATTGGTTGAATATTTTATAAATTCTATTGCCTTATTGTAAAATGGCCGTTTAACCCCCTTCATCAACTTATTTGTTCAAACCCTGATCTGAATTATTAATCGTCCCACGTTCTTCCACTTAATTATCCCTCTGTTTCAATTATCCCACCCCGTTTAACTTACTGTATTTTGTGATGAGTTAGAAAAAGAAAACACTTACCTGAAAAGAAAATGCAAAAATAAATATCAATTAATTAACTGTAAGCCAATTCCAATCAATTTCAAGTATTTATGCCTAGGCAAATAATTAATTTTAAACTGATTGAAAGCGCTGTCAATTTGAAAACGACGCAAAAAGTCGTCTCTGTAGTCGATAATGGCGACAATGAAGATGAAAATAAAATACAGCAAGAACCGAAAAAAATGTTGGTTTAATTAATTGTCGTAATCAGGTATAGCAACAAATTTAATGCTTGGGGTTTAGTAAAAATAAATTTCAGCAATTTTAAAGAGCTTCCTGCCAAAAGACGTCACACGAGTGTAATTTGTTGGCCAACAGCCCCGACCACAAACAAAATGAAAAGGAAAATAGCATCAATTTTCGCGGTTAGCCAATTTTGGCCATAGCCGCGCGATGTGTGCCACCAAGCGAGTGGGTGTTGATGGCTAAAATTTGGGTATACAATTCGTTCGCCCTTTCCTCGACTCAGAATATTCTTTTGTCAGTCTGTTGGCAGGTGGACAGCTCGAGGATGAGTCAAAGATTGAATGGGTTTGGCCTTATAATTGAAACACTCTGCCTAATTTGGCACTTATCGCCAAGTACCAGAGGAGAGAGGCAAAGTGGTTTTGGGAAGGCTGGTTGGTTGGGCCCCTCAAAGCAAATAAGAGATTCCTAGGAAACTAAATGAATACACAAATGTAGCATAACGGTAGACCAAACTTAACGTGAACATTTTGCGAATTCCGTTTAATCCGATAAAGTTGAAAACACATTTAAAAAAGTATTCTGACGAACATTGTGTTTTGTCAGAAAATTGCAAAACAAGGTGCCCCAGAAATTTTTCAATATCAATTTTGGTTGGTGTAAAATATTTATTAACTTTGAGATGTTTTGGATTTCGTGAAAAAGTATGTAAATAGACAGTTATTTTAAGGACCTTTGAATTTATTTGGAGATGTCTTAAAAACACCCCAAGCTAATTCTAAATTTTCTTTTTATTCAATGATCAGACACTTCCTTATTAATCATGCTATCTGAATTTAGATCAATGCCAGATTTCTGTGATACTGTATCCGATGGCAAAGTTTCAGCTGTAAGTACCTCATTCAATGTCTTATTCGACAAAACATTTAAAATCTTAGTTTCTGAATCAGTTTCAGTGATTTTATTTGCTTCCAAAACATCCTCCTGGCCATCCTCTATTTCCTTAGCATTTTGGGAACTACTACCACTCATAATCTCAACTGTATTGATAAGGGGATTGCCAAGATCATCGATTACGATGCCGACACGTGTATAATTTTTCTCCAGAATGGCTTCCCAACGATCCACATAGTTGATCTCCGAGTCTTGCAGGCTCATTATCATGTTCAGGTAATGGGTAAAATCCCTGCCAGCTACATGAGACAGGGTGCCATCCAAGCCGAACTCTGGCAAATCGTTGGACACGTCGTAGATCTTTCCCTTGAGCGCCACCAGTATCCTTCCATCACTCCGCGTCCCATCAAATCCCAGCAACTGAGCCAAGGTGAGTTTGATCGGCGGCAAATCTGGCAGATTGTGAGCAAATAACTTGGTAACATCTAGCCGATTACCTCCGCCGGTTCGCAGTTGATAGTGATAGAAATATCCCAGAGCGGCCACACACAAGGTCAACCCAATGCTGACCATATAACCTAAGACTCCTAACTCCTCATACATCTTCTGATAACGCTCTTTTGATTTGGCCGAAATGGTTTTAAGTGGAATTCTGAATTTGTTTGTCAATGCGGCTGCCTCCTAAATTTTCCTATTGGGGATTTTAGGGTTCAATTGAATTCTAGCTAGCACTCAAAAGATTTTATCTCATGGCGTACTTGTGTTAAATAAAAGCAATAGTCTTTGTTAGGTTTAGGTTTAGTTTTTCATATGCTAACCTATCAGAATCAACAAATTGATCATTATTTGCAGATAAAATCTCCATATTATTAGAATGGGACATTGTGATCTGAAAGATCTCATTCTAATACTAGAAACCAAACGAAATAGAGTACCTCCTTTTCTCAGTCTAGTACTCATTCGATTTAGCTAGTGAGTCTTCTAATAATTGGTGTCATAACAAAAGCTGGTGCTACTCGGTCGCCGCATTGGAAAATATCAAGTGGCTGGTTGTTATCAAATACCCGTAGAGTCGCTGGCGTATCATTCGCAGTGCCAGGGCAGGTGATAATGTCAGCAAGTGTATCAGGAGCACAGAAATTGGAGCACAGCACACAGGCAGTCAGCACAAAAGCAGGTTGAACAGTTTTCTTATATTATCAGTTGATTAAATATGAATTATATGAACAAATAAAGGCACAAACACACATGGAATTTTCAGAGTGTGAGTGTCATGAAAAACGATAAGCGCCGGCATACAAAAAGAAAATAAAACAAAAATTCCGACACAGGGTGCCCTCCAAAAATAAGAATTTGGAGAAATGAAAAAATTAAGAAATTATGAGCTCCGAACATTCAGGTGTTAATCATAATTTACATTGATTTCAAAATTAATCTTAAATGTAGGTAACATAAATTTATTTATCCAATACAGAAATGGTGTTAATTTGTTCTTATTTGCCATGAAATCAAAAGGTACTCTTTAACGAAATCGATCGTTAAAATAAGCAACTAATACGATTAGGTATTTAAAGCTACTAGTTAATATAATTAGTTTTCTAGTAGAAAACAAAACAATGTTTTTTTTTTTTTACAATCTACACAAGTTTTGTTTTTTCACTTTTATATTACAATAGTGCTTTAAAATGTTTCTGCCTAAAGATAGTATGCATTTATACCTCCGCTTTCCCTTTGAGTACCACGTGTTTGAAATCTGTTAATTTTTAGAAAAAACTTAACCATGCTTTTTAAATTCATTGATCGAATTGAAACTATTGTTACATACATTTTAAACTTATGAGACTGCCAAACATATTATTAGTATATGTAATAAAAAACACTGTTATCTTTTTAATAAAGAAAACATTGAACACAATATTTAGTAGTCCAACTTTAAAGTATAGACGGCATTTTGAATAGTATTAATTTAATACTTTTACTTAGTAAAGATTCTTTTTAAAAACAACGATTTTTTAATTCTACCTATCCATTTTTGTTGTTACAAATTTAGTTAACTCAGAAATTCTTTGAACAAATTAATTAAGTTTTCAAGAAATAAACGGTCTTGTCATTAGGCATCCTTTATTGTTTTTATTTACTTACCCGATGAAATCTTTGATAAAACAATAAACCTTAAATAAACCGCGATCATTATTGAGTAAATATTCGGGCTGTATGACTGCAGCTGGCAATAAATTGACGTTTTGTTGTTGCTGCTGTTGCTGGTGGTGCATTTGTTGTTGCTGCAGCGCTTGTTCGCTGCCGCCGATGTTGTTGCTGCTGGTAGTCGCCATATTGGCAGCCATTTTGTTGGCTAACGCAGCCATTTTGTTGTTACTGTTGCCGCCATGCTGGCAACACTTATACTCATGCAGTTGTTGTCGATTTGTCGTTTTAGCAATTCTTGTCGTTTGTTTAATAAAAGTTAGTTGTGCGGTTTGGTAGCGCACCTAACGGGTTTGCGTGGAGCCCAATTCGTAATTAATTTAAAATAAATTGATCATAAAGCTGGAATACTAAGTTTAAAAATTTGGCCAGCCAAACAATTAAAATAACCATTGCAAAATTTTTAAAGTTTATGTCAAATCTTAAAAACGATCTTTGACTAATTAAATACTTTAAATAAATTTGTTTTTAAAATATTTAAACTTCAACTTTATTTCATCCAAATTTAATAAAATAATATCTTTAACTCAGAGTAAATCTCTTCTTTTTAGGACGGTAACAGAACATATTAAATTGTTTTCATTTGGCTTAAAATTTGAACTTTTTGAAAAACTTGTGTTTTTGGTTACTCTAAACGAAAAAAAGAGAACACTTTATTCAGTTTAAGTAAAACAGTAAACGACAGTATTTCTTTTGCCATAGTTATACAAAAACTACTTAAACTAAAAAAAACTAAACTCAAATCACAAAAGCAATTGGCAAATTTTGTTTTGCTTTCATTTGAAACTTTGCCAATTTTCATTAATTTCTGTTTCAGCTGCAATTTGTCGAGCTTTGTGGTGTTGTGGTGATTGTGTGGGTGTTTCATGTGTCATCATTAAAAGCGAAGTTTCAGCGTAGAGTAAAGTATTTAATTAACATTCACAGTGCTCTGACATGCCACAAGGCATTTCGTGGCATGCCTCGCACAAAAACACATTCGTACAAATGGGAGATGAACAACGCTTACATAACAAACGTGAAACGGATGAAAGAGCATGCGAGATGCAGTAACAGAAACAAGTGGGTTACTCAATATTTTCGAATACTGAATATTCAAACTTATTAAATCCTTTAAATTATTTAAATATCATCACGTAAGTTAGTTTTATGTATATAAAACTCTTTAAATCTTAAAATGTTCATTTTTGACGACATTTTTTGGTTCGAAATGTTTTGAAAAAATATTCTGATTGCATTTAAACCCAAAGCTAAGAATAGTTAAAAGTATGGTTTTTCAACACTCCATAGAGCCCCAGAGGTTTTTAAAAAAGAGATCAGGTGTCTGAACTAACGTGCTTTTATTAACAGATAAAAGTATGAATTTATGAGAAAAGTTATTTGACTCTACAATGACTATTTCTTATTTTTACGACATAATTTTTCGATTCAATTGGAGAGTGAGCCACCGTTTTGTTTAGCTCCGACCGCCTGTCGAGTGGTACAAAAATGTAATATGTCTCTGAAGCAAAAAGTTAGTCAGGCACTGGGTCGACGGTTTCCCACTTTTCCAGCTCCTCTCAGCTTTTGTGGGTGCAACAAATGGCGCCTGTTGACAGCTAGTTGACAGCGCGGCTAGAAATATGACAGCTTCGGCTGGAGGCACTTGTGGGACAACAACTGTCCAACAACTTGTTTAAGATGCGAGACAAGCTGAAGGTATGGGCAGTCCAGCCGTAATGGGGGATGAGATATGCCTCCCCAGAGAAACATTACTAACAGCCCCAAAAATATGTGACTAAAATTGATGTGTTACACACATTAATTAGCATTTTTAATCACCCGAAACGGAAAGAACCAAGGTTTAAAGTCACTCGACAGAATTATTTATATATTTTACATGGTGCGAGCATTACATGTTTGGGCATTTCATACTGTCAAGTACTGAGGCCTAACGATGATGTTACTCGACCCTGACTTTGACTTCCCTCTGCCCAAACAACCAGTCGACCAGTCACGTACCAAAGAGGCAGTCCAAGTATTTTTTTCCGTCAAGGGCCCACACTTCTAAGCACTCGGAAGGAGGGTTTGTGTTTGGGGCACCAGCATGCCAAGTATTTTCATCCAAAGAGTTGCTGGAAAACCTTGAGTCGCTCTGCCAAAGAACAAACTCATTCACGTACCCATTCACATTCTCATCCCACTCAATTGAAACTGACACACGGCGCCCAGCATGAAACAACACAAAAACCATTTCGCCTTGAAAAACGTTTTCATAATGGAACCCAAAACAGCACAACACAACCGAACACCGCGCAGAAAAAGAAAATAAAATCTCTGTATGAAAATGAACGGCAAGTCTAATGCTCGAGTACCATTGTAAGAGCATAATTCCTGAGGTAGTCAACACAATGGCTGAATGGATGTTTGGCAGGATTTATTTGTTTGGCTGAGCACGTGCTGGGCCAGTGGGCCTTGATACACGAGATGGAAGGCGCGGGAGTAATGGGAGATTACCGTGATGGGGCCTATTTCATCAGGCTTAGTGCAATCTTGGCACATATTAAATTTACTTGGATCCCAAACAAGGCGGAAATACAGGATGGAGATTTCGTAGGTGAAACAACTTTTAAACCTCTATAAAACATAATTTTCCCTGATGCTTAGAAACAGCTATGTAATAAATACGATATATAAACTACAGCTACAATAGCATCTCAAAAGGGTGGATATTTAGAAAAGTTAAATAAATTATATAATTTTTTAGGTTTTATGCCAGCTAAGATAAGCACTAATACTTTATATTTCTTCTTCATTTATTCTCTACGTTTTCTATCACAATTGATAGCCTTAAAATTTGCACATTTTCATTAAGATCTGAATTCTGCAAATAAAATTCGTTAAAGACAAAATTATATGCATTTCTGTGAAATTTATATTTTTTTTGCAATAATTTATAGTTAATGGACTTTCAATATGGATAATGCAAACTAATACCGATAAATTTAAAATATATATTATGTGAACAAGGCGCTCTGCCAAGCGCTCAATAAAAATCATTTAAGCGTAAAATTTATGCACATCATGGAACAATGTCAGCAAGGAGTTGAAATTCCTTTAACAATCCGCCATTTTATCTGAGTTCTTGTTTTTTATGCGAATTTAAGCGCAACTCACGCAGTGCAAAATGGAATTATGCAAAGTATCTGTGTGCGGGTTCCTTCAAGTGTATGTATGTGTGTGTCCGCGTCATTGAGCTTTGGAAAACCAAACAAAAAACAAGAAAGGAAAGCTAACTTCGGGCGGAGCCGAAGTTGAAATACCCTTGCAGAATATTCTGCAAATTATATTCTCCAAAATTATTCATATGATGCATTCTTAATACTCATAAAAAATCCCAACTTCCTAACTTTAAAAACACCAAAGTTATGGCATTTCCGATCAATCAGTTATATAGCAGCTATAGGATATAGTCGGCCGATCCTTATGAAATTTGGTACGTCGTATTGATTGGCCAAATATAAAACCCATAGAAAGTCCCAACTTCCTAACTTAACAAACACCAAAGTTATGGCATTTCCGATTAATCAGTTATATGGCAGCTATAGGATATAGTCGGCCGATCCTTATGAAATTTGGTACGTCGTATTGATTGGCCAAATGTAAAACCCATAGAAAGTCCCAACTTCCTAACTTAACAAACAGCAGAGTTATGGCATTTCCGATTAATCAGTTATATGGCAGCTATAGGATATAGTCGGCCGATCCCGGCCGTTCCGACTTATATACTGCGTGCAAAGGAAAGAAGGGTGTGTGCAAAGTTTGAATTCGATATCTTTAAAACTGAGAGACTAGTTCGCGTAGAAACAGACAGACGGACAGACAGACGGACAGACGGACAGACGGACAGACGGACAGACGGACAGACGGACATGGCTATATCAACTCAGGAGGTGATCCTGATCAAGAATATATATACTTTATAGGGTCGGAGATGTCTCCTTCACTGCGTTGCACACTTTTGACCAAAATTATAATACCCTCTGCAAGGGTATAACAAGAAAGGAAAGCTAACTTCGGGCGGAGCCGAAGTTGATATACCCTTGCAGAATATTCCATAAATTATATTCTCCAAAATTATTCATATGATGCATTCTTAATACTCATAAAGAGTCCCAACTTCCTAACTTTAAAAACACCAAAGTTATGACATTTCCAATCGTTCAGTTATATGGCAGTTATAAGATATAGTCGGCCGATCCTTATGAAATTTGGTGGGTCGGATTGATTGGCCAAAAATAAAACCCATAGAAAATCCCAACTTCCTAACTTTACAAACACCAAAGTTATGGCATTTCCGATCAATCAGTTATATGGCGGCTATAGGATATAGTCTACCGATCCTTATGAAATTCGGTAGGTCAGAATGATTAGCCAAAAATAAAACCCATAGAAAATCTCAACTTCCTAACTTTAAAAACACCAAAGTTATGGCTTTTCCGATCGTTCAGTTATATGGCAGCTATATGATATAGTCGCCCGATCCGGCTCGTTCCGACTTATATACTACCTGCAATAGAAAGACAACTTTTGGGAAAGTTTCAAGCAGATAGCTTTGAAACTGAGGGACTAGTTTGCGTAGAAACGGACGGACGGACGGACAGACGGACAGACGGACAGACGGACGGACAGACGGACAGACGGACATGGCTAGATCGACTCTCCTGGTGATGCTGAT